GGCTTTTAAAGCTCTCACAGGCGTACGGGGCAAGAAAATAAGCAAAAGCTTTAGCACATAGGCCCTAAACATTCCTCAGAAACGCCAGTCGGAGGTAACTGCACTGTATAAAAGCAATCGTTGCTCCAACCCAAAAAAAGAAAGCACAGGAGACCAGACATCTCCGTTATGAATTTGTCTGGAACGGCTATTCGGAGCACTTTATAAGCCGATGCGCACGGGTTCGACCCTGCAGGAACCAACCAGATACAGCATCTATAGTATGATGTATCCCAATGGCGCCTCAGAAGAGACTGAGTGCATGTTTGCAGGACTGGGTATTTCAACTGTATATCGGTCCAAGGCCTCGTCGCAGGGTCATGAAAAATCAGGAGGCTATTAAAGTCCGTTGAGGGTGTAGTGCATCGCATTCCGTGCCTAAACTGTCCTTGTAACTATATAAATAAGCCTTATAGTATGTTCAGATCAGGCATTGGCAAGCAGTAGCTGGTTGTACGACAGGGCTTTGGGTTATGTTTAGTGACTACGCACACCTACAGAAGGAGCGAAGAATTTAAATTCGCAGCCGCAAAGGCAATTGCCTAGTCCAGGGCCAAGAGAAGCCACGAGTTCATTGCTGAATTCGGTATCGATGCGAATGCATCCAGTCGATATATCGATTAGAGATCTGCTTACTGAGTCCTGCGCGGCCACCTCAAGCTAAGCATTACACCTGTTTGCTTGGCCCCTACCCACTAAATCTGCTACTACTTTCTTGCCCCTGTTATCTCTGTCGTCGAAATCCTGCACCAGATGGAATTCTGAAAGGTTTCAGATGACCATGTCGTCATATTCTTTCGTATTTTTACCAATAACTGCAATGTGGATATTTGTTTCAGTTCCCCTACTCACTATTCTTAAGTATATTTTTTTTTGTTTTAAACATCCCTTGAGTACGTAAGCTTAGTGCCATTTATATATCTCGAATATCTTCCTGTAATGCGCCAGCAAAGCGCAATCCAAGACGTTCGCAGGACTTTCGATTTTACAGATTCTTGCAATTCTTCCTTGTAAGTTTGTCGTTACTGGGAGGATTATCACCTGTAGAAACTCAGCTCATTGGAAATTACTTCATTATAATTCTAATTTCTGCAAATATTCCCATGCTTAAGTTGAGAAGTCAAGTTCCGCAAACATAAGTTTTCAGCAAATCATCATCAGGACAAAACATTTGCAGAGTAATTAAAACTGTACAGGTGGACAGAGTTAAATAGTGTAGTCTAATCACAATTCGTCGTTTATGCGTCGCCCACATGGGGAGGTCGGCGTCTAAAGGTTCTTGTGTTGGGGGAAGGGGGAGGGGTAGGAGAGATAATTGGGTTAAGTTGTGGGGGTTGATCAGAGGGCGGACACATGGAGGGATAATTGCTGCTATTTGCGCGCAGCGAACGACTGTCACTGGG